AGTCAAGCCACCAATCAGCACCATAGCTGTAGGTCCCATCATTCATCTCCTTCATGCACTGGTTGCAGATATCCCCCAAAAAATCCCCCTGAGCCCTACTCCGGCAAGTCTTACCACGATGAAGCCACCATCTCCACCGCTGCTGTACCCTATTTCAACCCTACAGGCTAGCCCCTTCGTCGCAGAGCACGTCATCTCCCACCGTCACAGCCACTACAACCCCCTGCCTCAAGCACCAAACCTTGGAAGAATTTTTCAATTATGAAAAATTAAGAAAAAAAGACACAAAAAATCCCAAAAAATCACATGAACATTTCAGCGCCCACTATTCGCACAGGGAGAAAGGAAGAGAGGGAGAAAACACCCTCTCTCCCCATGGAAACTCCAGCGACTATTGATGTCTCAGTTACATGTAAAGGGGTCACAAGAGCCAAAGGGATTTCTTCTCTCCCCCAAAAGACAACCCCCCGTCTGTTCACTGCCACCGCGGGAAGGCGCCCCCTCACCTCCCCGCCCCAGTTCAGAACAGCCCCCAAAATACCCCTCCTACTCCCTCAGTCACTTAAACCCTTAAACCCTTTCGAGGCTATTTCATTAGAACTTGGTGCAAGTTGTTCTTTGAGTTTTCTCAGCTGAAGCCGGGTAACGGCCCCGGTGCTTTAATACTTGTGTATCCTTATATGGGACGCTGGGCCCGGTTCCCAGCACGTGCTGCTCCCAACGAACAGATTGGAGCATTTTGTCCCCCCCCCCAAAAAAAAAGGTTACCAGATCAGGATGACTCGCCCTATCCGGCACACTGCCTGCCTCTTTTTTCTTCTTCTTTTTTGTTAAAAGAACTCATATATTGCAAAATTCAATTGACGAGGCCAGGGACCTCACAATTCAACCCGGAGTTATCCCGGCAGCATCAGCCGGTTTAGCTTAGTCTAAACTAGCAAACTAAAATGAATTTGAAAACGGAATAAAGCAGGAAACACTATCCACTGCCAACCAAATCTACTACTATAGACCCTAGGAGCAGAGTGATCCCCTCATCTCTCACTGTCTGAAACACTGTGAAGAGCCTGAGCTGCCGAGACGGGTTTCCCACCACGCACCCAATGGATACACCTCAAGTTTGCTCTTCACCGGTTCTCTCTTTCCTCCCTACCAGTAGTGTTCCCACTGCCCCTTGACCCACTCTCACTGCTCAAGGTGGCACCGCTACTAGTGGCTCCATGACTTTCGCCCTGAACTACTCTAAGTCACTTCCCTCTTCTATTTGTGAACTACTACCGCGACCTTCTCAAAGCAACTGCAGGCATAACAACTAAATTTCTCATCCATCATGATTCCCTCAGCTCTATCAGGGCAACCTTTTCATCCTCACTTGAGCAGTGAGAGTGGGACAAAGGTCAGTGGTAACGCTACTGGTAGGGAGGAAAGAGAGAACCGGTGAAGAGCAAACTTGAGGTGTATCCATTGGGTGCCCGCCTCTTTTTCAGCACACCCTCCAATCCCTTTTGCCTCCTTTCCGCACTAGATGGCTGAATCAAAAGGGTAGCCTGGGGGCTACCATGTTGTTTTGCCACAATATTTTGGCTGGGTGTCCGAAAATCCGTCAGCACTCCCCTCTCAGACACGTCAGCATTTTTTTTCTTTTCTAAATGCCTTTTCTGCGGCCGACAAAACCTCCAACATTCCTTCACTGGCTGGCTCGCGGGAAATCCGCCACGTCAGCATCTTTCCCGAATTGGCTGTGTGACATGAAAACCCCWAACATTCTTTTTTTTCCCTTTAATTTTTCTTGGGTGGTGGCAGAGTTTTCAGGACAGCCCCCTAGGTCTGGCCTTTTCTGTTCCTTGATTTTACTCGGCCTTAGGGCCAGATCCCACTAGGCCCTATTATTMATTTCTGACCTTCGATCTTCGTAATCGAGGGTCAAAATTTAATAATCAAGGGCAGTGCAATCTGACCCTTAGCCAGCGCCGATTACTCGGCCTTAGCGAGCAGCTAAACTGGATGCTGCTGCCAGGATAACTCCCGGTTGAATTGTGAGGTTTTCCCCGGCCTCAATTTGACCTGTTTTAATAAAACTTTCCGTTTAAAATAAAAATAAAAATAAAAAGATTCTTCCTCTGGCTGGCTGGCGGGAAGTCCCGCCAGCATTCCACCCCGCAGCCAGGTCAGCATGGTWCCATCGTCATTGSCGCGCATCTACGTGAGAGGAAAGAGGAGAGTGGAGAAGGGGGGGAAGGGCATGGGCTAACGTGCGAATGTAGGCGGGGAGGTTTGTTTGCAGCCGGAAATAACCGACATCCTTCCGCTCACTCACACCCGTGTTGGGACTGGGAGGATCCAGCAAAATATGTTCCATGGTGACATGGCAGAACGCTAGTTAATAATATGTGATGTGAGGTGAGAGAAGAATATATGGTTGTCCCCCCATGAGGAGAAGGCAGCTTTTATATAAAATAAAACATCAGTCCAGTCTTTCTGTCCAGATTCCACAGGTATATAACATCAGTCCAGTCTTTCTGTCCAGATTCCACAGGTATTTGAATTGGTTGGGCCTTCCCCCCCCCTTCAAAAAAAAAAAAACTTAGTCTTTCAGAAAAATCAAATTTCCATTACATAGTTCAAATCAGAGGCCGGGGTCCTTCCCTCTCCCCCCCCCAAAAAAAAAAAATTCAAATTTCCATTACGTAGTTCAAATCAGAGGCCGGGGTCCTTTCCCCACTTCCCCCCCCGTCAAAATTCAAATTTCCATTACGTACGTAGTTCAAATCAGAGGCCGGGCGCCTTCCCCCACCTCTCCCCCCCTCTTCTCAAAATTCAACTTTCCCATTACGTACGTAGTTCAAATCAGAGGCCACGCTCCTCTACACTACACCCGCGGAAAAAGACTGGAAGCAACATCCAGCAACTTAGCTGACAGGCTTCAGCCTGTGGGGGCCAAGTCCCACTAGCAGACTTAAGTTTCCTCAACACCTGAATGGGGACGCTTTGTGGAGATGCGCAGAAAATCGGGATGAGTTTTCTGGACAGCACATCTCCACAAACACGTCCAGATTCGGCCTTCGAGGAAACTGAACGCCCCGGGACTTTCTCTGAGCCCCATGCAGTTCGGTGGCTGCAAGTCCGATTAAAAAAAATTGAGGGAGGCGGGCGAAAGGATGTCGGTTATTTCCGGCTGCAAACAAACCTCCCCGCCTACATTCGCACGTTAGCCCATGCCCTTCCCCCCCTTCTCCACTCTCCTCTTTCCTCTCACGTAGATGCGCGSCAATGACGATGGWACCATGCTGACCTGGCTGCGGGGTGGAATGCTGGCGGGACTTCCCGCCAGCCAGCCAGAGGAAGAATCTTTTTATTTTTATTTTTATTTTAAACGGAAAGTTTTATTAAAACAGGTCAAATTGAGGCCGGGGAAAACCTCACAATTCAACCGGGAGTTATCCTGGCAGCAGCATCCAGTTTAGCTGCTCGCTAAGGCCGAGTAATCGGCGCTGGCTAAGGGTCAGATTGCACTGCCCTTGATTATTAAATTTTGACCCTCGATTACGAAGATCGAAGGTCAGAAATKAATAATAGGGCCTAGTGGGATCTGGCCCTAAGGCCGAGTAAAATCAAGGAACAGAAAAGGCCAGACCTAGGGGGCTGTCCTGAAAACTCTGCCACCACCCAAGAAAAATTAAAGGGAAAAAAAAGAATGTTWGGGGTTTTCATGTCACACAGCCAATTCGGGAAAGATGCTGACGTGGCGGATTTCCCGCGAGCCAGCCAGTGAAGGAATGTTGGAGGTTTTGTCGGCCGCAGAAAAGGCATTTAGAAAAGAAAAAAAATGCTGACGTGTCTGAGAGGGGAGTGCTGACGGATTTTCGGACACCCAGCCAGTGAAAGAATGTGTGCGGTTTTTCTTTTTTCGTTTTTCGCTTTTCTTTTTTCTTTTTTCTTTTTCTTTTCAGACCACTTTTATGAGTCTCGATTTTTTTTTGCCGCACGTCACGTCCAAACTAAGGAACCATAACCAAAAAAAACACATGCTGACGTGGTGGATTTCCCACCACAGATTCGATCAAGAAAGTCGTCAGACAAGGAAGAAGAGAAGACAGTCGGAGAAGAGGGGAGCAGGAGAGGGGAGCAGGAGAGGGGAGAAGAGAGGAGGAGAAGAGAGGAGAGAAGAGAAAGAGATGGGAGTCTGGCCTCTGTGTGTGTGTGTGTGTGTGTGTGTGTGTGTGAGAGAGAGAGAGAGAGAGAGAGAGAGAGAGAGAGAGGGAGAGACACATTTCGTCACCGATAGAGAGAGGGAGAGAGAGAGAGAGAGAGACAGATAGAGAAGAGAGAGGGAGGGAGAGAATGTGTGTGTGTGTGTGAGAGAGAGAGAAAGGCGCGCTTCTGACAGACGCATAGCGATTCACATTTCGTCACACACACACACACACACACACACACACACACACACACACAGAGAGAGAGAGAGAGAGAGAGAGAGAGAGAGAGAGAGAGAGAGAGAGAGAGAGTCGCGTATCAACCAGACGGAGAAGTGTGTGGAGAATGTCCACGCGCCGATTTAGACGAAGAGAAGGGCTTGCTCCACTACTGATCAAATGTAAGAAAGATAGGGGGGATGGAAAAAAACATTACTTAAATGCGTTTGAGTAGACTCGGTTGTGGGTTGCTGGAAAAAAAAAAAAAAAAAAGGGCATGTATATACGTATAACCAATTTCCAAGCTAAGCTAGGTATGTTCAAGAACTGCATGTAGTCATCTACCAAAAGGGTGAAATCAGCACGCATTTCCACCCAAAAAAAAAAAAAAAAAAAA